GGAAAGAAATCCGAAAATGGTGGTAAATATACCAGAACAAATTAATTTTAAAAATCTTATGGTGATCCAAAAACATAGTCCCCAAAATTTATATTAATCCGTTTGACATACAATGAGAAAATAAGCATTGACAGTCCCATGAGGCTGCGTAGAAGCAGAATGCTGCAGGTGGTTCTAACAATAATGTCAAGGTATTTTGAAAGAGAGCTAAATCGTAGCACTATACCCTAAAACTTATCTTGAATGTGTCTTACTGGATTTGAAAAGCCAAAGTCAGAAGTTAGAAAAAACACCCCAACAATCAGTTTCTCTTATGTATATCTGATGTTCAATGATATAATCAAAATATGTTTGTTTGGTTGTTCTTTTTTTTTCTCAAGACCCCTGACTCATTCAATGTGTAGGTTTGATGATGCTCATTTAGGAACAGCTGTTCAAGATTTTGTTTCTTGTCACTGTTACTATGTGGTTCTATGTTTTATTATGACATACTAATCAAGCCCTCTTTTGAAGACAAAATGCATACTCATGGTTTTAAAATACTTTTCTAGTTTTCATGGATGATTATCACCTCCAAATCTGATCAGAAATCATTTGAAATATTCATGTCCACCATTTTCAAATGCCGTTTAAATACTAGCTAATTATTAATTTCTTTTGATATATGTACTTGGATATTTAATTTATGTATCCTAGTATGAATTCAATCCCTAAGGTAGGAATGTTAGGGTTTTTGGTTATTTTGTTTTCTTGGCTGGAATTAATTAGCTATATGAGAAAATAAAATTGTTGACAGGTTTGGTTTTTTTTTTTTTTTCAGAAAACATAGATTTTAACTTGTTGTTTCGGGTTGTGTTTTGTTTTTTTTTTTTGCTAGAAATTAATCACAATCAGGATGCCAGAAAGCTGTTGTTCCTAAGACAACACTTTAAAGCATACATTGATATTTCTAAAAAAACAACAACAAAAAAACCAAACCAAAATAAACACATGAATGTATGGATTGCAACATTATAGTTAATGATCAAACAGATAGCTGCTCTCAGCTGTAAAGAAATAATAACAGACTGACCTAGAGTAACCACATTAGATAATAATCCAGTGACGAACATGGGGTAAGAATTTGTCTCTTCCAGCACAGAAGTGAGACTGCTTAGGTATGAGATCCTTTGAACTCTCATAAATATCTTTCTGCTTAGAATCTCTTACACTTCTACAGTGTATACCTATCAGAAATTCCAAAGATCATTAGAATCAGCTCACTATTTTTCAGTAGTATTGACACACTAGTGAATGCAGTTCCTGAAAACAGGAGAAACCAAGAATTAGGTGAATGTGCTGTGTAAATTGTTCCACCATGTTCTGTGATCCAGTGAGATATCTCAATTCAAAGTGATCCATACTTGAACTGCCTCTGAAGACCAAAATGTACAGTGTGTACATTGTGTGCATGTACATCAGCAGCATACCTCCATCTGACTTACCCCTAATCATCACTCCAGACTGAAATAATGACTGAAAATGCTGTATATTCCAATGAGTTGTGGGCCTCAAACTTGTGTAGTTGCATTTTTTGTAAATAATTAAATGCTGCATAAAGCTGATGTTCCAATGATGTACCTACAGCTTATGTAGATTTATAAAAATACTATTTTTTCATTTTTGAAACCTGAGGTGCACTGACATAATCTTTATACTTATTTATTTATTCATTTAACTGCTTACTTATGTACATTTACATAAAGCTGCAGTCCGACAATGCACCGCTTCTCCTGGAAGTTCTTTTTTAAACTGGCAGTTATTTAATTTATTTTTTTTTTTACTTTGAGAAGCTACTCAGCTTGAGACCAAAATGCAGTCGCTTTCATAGCTTCTTTCTGATTAAAAAGTTGCTAGAAATCTGGTCTGCTGTGGGAACCTCTGAGAATGAAAATCCCATATAACTGCCAATTATTCTTTTTGTCAAATTAATTGCTACAGTACTTGTCCTGTATTTATTTTTTTAATTACTTTACCCAAGGGAGCATGGACCAAAAGAAATATAATAATGTCAAATGAACATATTATTTTAAGACTCACAAATGCTATAATCAAATTGCACATATAAAGACAAAGTTACAAACGGGGCCATTATACTGTTACACCTTCTGCTACATCTATTACAGAGCAGCTCAAGATATGCAGCAACAAACTAAATACATCTTTTGCAAGTACAAAGCTCTCCCACAGCGGAAGCCACAATTCTTTTTAGAACTGGTATGTTTCACAGAAACCAGAAATATTCTGCAAAGAAAAGATAGCTTTGTTCCATACTGCTTGTCTTTTTAGTGGAATGTTTTAGTAGGAGTACAGAATCATAGAATCATAGAATCATCAGGGTTGGAAAGGACCTTAAGATCATCCAATTCCAACCCCCCTGCTGTGGGCATGGACACCTTACGCTAAATCATATCACACAAAGCCTCATCCAACCTGGTCTTGAACACTGCCAGGGATGGAGCATTCACAACCTCCCTGGGCAACCCATTCCAGTGCCTCACCACCATAACAGGAAAGAATTTCCTCCTTATATCCAATCTAAACTTCCCCTGTTCAAGTTTTAACCTGTTACCCCTTGTCCTATCAGTACAGTCCCTAATGAAGAGTCCCTCCCCAGCATCCCTATAGCCCCCCTTCAGATACTGGAAGGCTGCTATGAGGTCTCCACGCAGCCTTCTCTTCTCCAGGCTGAACAGCCCCAACTTCCTCAGCCTATCTTCATACGGGAGGTGCTCCAGTCCCCTGATCATCCTCGTGGCCCTTCTCTGGACTTGTTCCAACAGTTCCATGTCCTTTTTATGTTGAGGACACCAGAACTGCACACAATACTCCAGGTGAGGTCTCACAAGAGCAGAGTAGAGTGGCAGGATCACCTCCTTTGACCTGCTGGTCGGATGGATCTCATCAGGACCCACGGACTTGTGCACATTCAGATTTCTAGGACGGTCTCGAACCAGTTCCTCTCCTACAGTGGGCGCAAGGTCTTCATTCTCACAGTCCCTGCATCTGCCTTCCAAGACTTGGGTGGTTTGGTCAGAGCCTTTGCCAGTGAAGACTGTGGCAAAGAAGTCATTCAGAACCTCAGCCTTTTCCAAATCCTGTGTAGCCAGTTCTCCTGAGAGCTTCCTGAGGGGGCCTACATTCTCTCTAGTCTGTTTTTTATTTGCTATGTACTTGTAGAATCCCCTCCTGTTATCTTTAATACCTCTAGCTAAGTTTAATTCTAACTGAGCCTTAGCTTTCCTAACCTGGTCCCTAGCTTCCCAGACAACATCCATGTAGTCTTCCCATGCCACCTGTCCTGGCTTCCACTTATTATAAGCCTCCTTTTTTCAATTGAATTTTCCTCAGCAGCTCCTTTCCCACCCAAGGAGGTCTCCTGGCCCTCCTGCTGCACTTCCTTCTGGTTGGGATGCAACACTCCTGAGCTTGCAGCAGGTGATCCTTGAATATCAACCAACAGTCTTGGGCCTCTCTGCCCTCTATGGCTGTATCCCATGGAACCTTCCTAAGCAGGCTCCTGAAGAGGCCAAAGTCTGCTCTTTTGAAGTCCAGGGCAGTGAGCTTGCTGCACGCTCTTCTCACTGTCCTGAGGATCTCAAATTCGAGCATCTCATGATGCCAAGGTTTCAGAGTAAATACTAAATGCTAAGAATGCTAAGGTACAGGAGGATGATACCACAGTGCCTGTGAACTCCATGATGTATCTTTTGCACAAATACACCACTGTAATTTTTAACTTCAGGCAAGACTGTAGGAAGGTGATAGCAGTACATTTATTGTTAATTTGTAAGCAGAGTTTTGTGATTCATTCCAGTCTGGTATGCTCTGGGAAGCCTTTTCTAAATAAATAGTTGGTCACTACAGAAACTCTTTGGGTGAAACATGATATAAAAATTGATATATCAGTCTCTTACCTGTTAGACATCCATGACTAAATCACCCACTCATGCAAACTTCAAAGAAAGTAGCTGCCTAATCTGTGATTTAATCTGCTGTCAATCTTACAGAAAAATCTTGGCCATGTCACACACTAAAGTAGAAACTTCAAAGAAATCATGATTGGCAAGAGTACTGCAAAGGACTTTTTTTTTTTCCTATGCCTCAAAAAATAGTTTTCTAAATAAAACCAAGGTATTTTTTTGGTGGTGGTGGTGTTTTTCTGTTTTTTTGGTGTGGGGTTTTTTTGTTGTTGTTGCTTTTTTGTTTGTTTTTGTTGTTGCTGTTGTTGGTTTGGTTTGGTTTTGGTTTATATTTGCTTTGGATACAGTCACGATTTTGGTGTCTAAACACAGTTTCTGCATTCAGCTGTAGCAACAGTGTTTATGTTAAGAAGCTAGTGCCCAAGAGTTGGAGAAGTCTGCTAAATTTTTCTATGAGAGGACCAAATAAACAGTGTGACACATGATAGCTTTGTCAGCAAAGCACTCTGCGGCATTGGAAAGAAGCGCACTGGAATAAACCCATCAAAAGGGTTTTGGTACTAGGAACAGTTAGTTAGAGCAGTTGCATCGTGGTTTGTTCAGCTGCAGAGCTTTAAGATCACCTTGATCAGACAAAAAAAAAAATCACAAAAACTATGTAGGCACTAGAGTTCTGATCTAGAACTGCTGAGGGTGATCACAATTTTTAAACGTCCCATGAAGATTTGTTACAAAGATTTCATTTGGCTGTTAGTTTTCTACAGGTAAAGTTTTTAATATGATCCATGCAACACCCCTTCTTCAGTCCCATTGCAGTAGAGTTCAAAAAAAAAAGTGACTTTTATATTTATTAATGGTGCAAATAATCTGGGGAATTAATCTGTATTTAGAATACACTAAATGGCAAATACAAAATCTGCTTGATTCTGCTAGGAAACGCCTTTTCAATTTGGAAATCAAATGATAATCACTAACAAAAAAGTCATCTCTTGTTTTATGGTAACTGTGAAAGAAAACATACTAGATGGAAGTATAGTACATTTTTGATTTTTTGCTGCTTGGAATGTATTTGAAATAGATTATCCTTTTTGTCAGTTTTGAACTCATGTAGGCTTCAATCAAGAGGATTGTATCATAGAGTCTGAAATGTACAAAGAAAATGTACAGTAGTTTGTTATAAAGTTTCTATTGTGCCTAGGAATAAACATAATTTTATTGCTGTTTGAGCAAGACTCTGAGAAAGTGTGTAACAGCAGCAAAAACACATCCACATCATTAAAAGGCAAGTTTTTATTCAGTGAGAGGTACAAACGTGAGAATTGCAGGGTCACTCTCTTCGAGACAACAAGCATAAACATAAGCTGCTTTTAGCCTTCATGTAGGAAAATGTAAAGCACTTTTAGAATGAAATCAATAAGGAACGTATCTGTAATAAGTATATGAAAATCTGATATTCAGTCTAGGTAAATTGAGGACACTAGTTTGCATCTATTAATATCAGTTCAAGTTGAGACCTGAGACACAGAAAAAAGTTTATTTGATACGCCAAGTGAAATATTGGACAGAGCAATCATGTCTTACATGAAGTTCACTGAAATGGTGAAGGAAGTTCATCTTTAAGTTAGAGTTTACTAGTGGTGTCTTTTTTTAATTTTCAATAAAAAACAGAGTCTATTTTTTTTCAGGATGAGAGAAGCATTATTTCCTCTCTACCTCAGGTTGGAATGATCCACTTCAAACTGATGAGAAAAAAATAGAATTGTTTTCATGATTTATAACAGGTAACTGAAAATATCTCAAAATACGTTAATGATTTTGCTTCTTGTTATCAGTGCAGAAGAAAAGCTATTTAGGAGGAAGGAAACAAATAAAACAGTTACACACTGAATTACATTTTGTGACTCCATGTTAACTGGAGTTATATACTTGTGACACCAATCAGACAAAAAAACCCCACTGTATTATTCCATAATGGCATTTTTGTTAACACTTAACTTGTTTCTGTAGCATGAATTCATTTTGATCCCTTATTCACTATGAGACAGAATGAAAATATATGTTAATGAACAAAAATTTATGCAGCTTTTTAATAATCAAAACATATAAAATAATATTTGAATATGTGACTTTTTTTGGACATATTGGAGGTTAATACTGCATCTTACTCTACAGAGCAAATATTTTGGAGTTCAGTCACTGCTCTTTGGAAGTCTTTCATAAAGGGTTTGGAGCTAACTGAAATTCTTGGAAATTCTCTTTAGAAAGCTGATACTTTTGCCAAGAAGTAGAAGATTTGCATGACATTCAAATGGTATTTCCACAAAGCAGTATCCAACGCCTACCAAATCTTCACAAAGCTATATATTGTCAGAGAGTGCAAAAAAACAAAACATTGGAGGGCTTAGCAGCTATTCATCTTTTTTTAAACATGTAATCATCAAGGCTAGTACTTTAAGCAACACAATATTTATTTATCACTGATTAAATCTTCAGACACCATAAAAGTACGGTGCTAGCAAATCTTTTTAAAATAATGCATTATTTTTGTGTAAATAAGGGAATAAGTATTTGAAATACAAACAGATTTACTCTGACAATCCTCATCCGTTTGCAATATGAAAATGATGAGCACAGAGGACTCTGTATTTGAAGAGTGTAATTGCAGTCAGAGCTGACTGCATGGCTCTCATTGGTATTCCTGTCTACATCTACATCTTTGATGCACCTTTTGTGTATCGTATACATGCAGGCTGACTTCTGTAGGCTGCCTATTCCTCCCTGAATGTCTTCCAGGCATCTTTAATCTTTGACCTCAGAGACAGACAGTTGATCAAGACAGGATCTTGGCTGAACTTTTATTTTATGAAACAGAGTAAAATATGTCATGGTGCAGCACAGGCCAGTCACTCCCTGGGGCCAGGAGCAGCGGGGGCTCCACAGGGATGTCAGGGCAGGTGCTGGCAGCCAGGACTCATCCCACTGCCACTGCCAGCTCCAGGGCAGCTGGAGGGGCAGCTGGGGGCAGTCTCAACCCTCTGCGTAAGGCATCTCCCTAGGGATGGGGACAAACTGAGGCAAAGCGAGATGTCAGCCCTGGGGCTGTGCCTGGCTCACTGATAGATAATACACTATCGTACCATCAGAGACATGTAGCAAGAATCTTTAGACAGGAAACAAGCAGAGCCATGAACTGACAGCCCATCTTGACTACTCTTTTTAAGACTGGTATAGACATAGCCACAGTGCTCACGGGGGCAGCTAAAATCTAGCTGTGCCCTCAATGGCAATAGTTATTCAATGTCTTTCTGTCAAATTACATTGGTTTGAGGGGTGTGAATGATTATGTGGGCAAAGAGGGGGAATGGTGAACATTTTAAAGCTGTGTATAAAAGAATTGGAAAAAATATACCTCCAAAACTGCTGAACTGAAAGTTCTAGGCTAAAAACAGAATGTCATATTGTGAGGTCTTCCCCCCTAACTCTATGAAATCAAAATGCTAGTGTGCAGACAGTTACTATGAGTGTTGCTCAGAATCAATTTAAAAGATACAAATGGACACTGTCAGAGATTTGGGCTTAAAACAGCTTCTATGGAATTAAAATACTTTGTAAACTGCTAATTAAGTGCAATGAGCAGCAGAATGATTAAATACATATTTTTTCCAGAATACTTTTGGTTCTCTTTGAGAGCTTGAGCATCAGTTTTGGCTAATGTTAATCTAAACTAGAATAAAGGGTATTATTTTTTAATACAAAATTATGAAGATTTTCTGATAGTGTTTTCATGCCTACTGACACAAATCACAGTTTGGGGATTCTCAGGGCAGGGGCCTTGTGCTTAGTTCTGTTCTCTAAAAAAAAGAAACTAAAACCATAAGAGTGACTGGGGTCTCAAGGCAAGGAATATAGAGATTAATTATAAGTGGGTAAGCTTAAGCTGTATTTCACAAATATGAAATAACAAAAAAACAAAAAAAAAACAGTTTTACATTGGAGGAGAGTTTCTGCTTCTTTTTCTCAAAGAATAAATGAAGCATATATACTAATCAAAATCAATAGATGAGATCATCATACATAAATAAGTTTTTAGCTGAAGGCAAAACTTACACTAATAAAACTGCCTGACAGAAATTAAACTGCTTATTTTCCTCACATCATCATTATAATCTTTAGTCATATTGCTATTCATAGCTTGCTCCCTATGGCTTAGAGCTTTTACACTGGATTTAAGAGTGTTAAGCAGGCTTAGTTGTAATTATCATTCTATTCAGAAGAAGATCTGTATTAAAAATAAAAAAAAAACACGTCATGAAATGCTTGTAAAACAGCATTTACAGATTTCTTTTCCATAAAATCTGGAGACGTTTCTCTGCTGCTTAATTCTCTTTTTTTTCCCAGAACCCTTCTCACAAACAAATCAGAATTTACTTTGAGATCTGATTGTTAAGAACTTTCCAGATTTAGTATCAAAATATGCCAAAGTCTCACCCTTTCCTGTCCCAAAAGAGCAAAGGAATCATTAAATGTGATGATAGAGTTTGAATTATAGCTGCTTTGATACCATCTGTGATCCTTTATTCTTCAACCAAGACCCATCAGTTTTCAGTCTGTTTAGTCTAATTATGTATCATTTTAACCTTACCATGATATAAAATATAAATGTATCATTCAAATATATTCATAAACAGTTGCCCAGTTGTGAAACCCTTTTTCAAATAAGGCATTACAAAGGGCTTTAACCTTCCACAACATTTATATTTAATGACATAAATGAAAGAGGATGACATTAAACTTCAAAGCAGCAAAGATGATACATTTCCAATCGTGCTGTCACAGTGAGATCAGCATACCAGTACCCAAAAAAATGCTTTTTCATTTACTGAACTTCAAGCGTGGCCTCATCTCAAATGATATCTATTGGCACTTCAAATACACCAAAGGCCATTAAAGTGCCATGAAAAATATATATGATATTTTGGTACAGTTGTCTTTTAATACCAGAGAATTAAATTGTTGTTCAGTCTTTGTCTCAGAATGCCTATCCAAATTGAAAAGACTAGGATATTAATATGGTTAGTCATCTGATATGACACTGTAGTAAAAAGAATGTGTATACAACAGAATGCTAAATGTCATTTAATTATTCAGGTCAAGGCTGTAAATAAAAAATGCCTTCTACCTTGCCAGTAGTTGATGCTGTAGGTTGGTCAAAACTTTGCTTCACCTGATTTCACCAAAATTTTGAATTTGCTTCATTTCACATACGTATCTCAAAGTATGTTGTCTAAGGCTAAAACAGGTTGTGTGAGATTGCATGGCAATCTCATAGTCTGTGCAAATATGTACTTTCAGATGCCAGTTCAAGTTCTCTGAAGACAGTGGTGTAGATTAATTAAATTGCCCCAAAGCTGCTTTCATCTGCCCATTGATAACAAAGCCAAAAGTATATAACTTAAACCTAGATGTCCAATTTATAGATGTCTGATGAGATGAAAGCCAGCTTCAAAGACAGCAAGAAACATGACAGCAATCCTAAATAATGTCATGATTGTGATCTATTTTTGAAAAAAAAAGAAAAAGCGTGTCATGCACATTTTTCAGTATGCTTCATTTTGCATTTTTAACATTTTTTTAGGGCTGAACTTCAACCTGTCTCTTTCTTGTCCATAAACTGATCTCTCTACAGATTTTAATTACCTCTGTGGTCCTCAAGTGGCCATAATTGATAAAATAATCACTCTGAATCATGTATTACTATCTTAAGTATTAAATGCGAACACAGTGGAAGGGGTTGATAGTCTAAATTGGTCAGAATATCAACAGGATTGGGCACAGGATCCTATTTAACACTAAAAACTGTTTCATACAAAAGGACATATATTTTTAACCTAATGACTTTATAAAGCTTTGCTTTTCCCAAAATATATAAAATATACATATAAAATACAATATGGTGAAATGACAAATGTTTCTGAAACACAGAAATTCCGTATTGGGCCGTATGAGTAGAGTGTATTTAATTCAGCACTGCAGTAATCTCTACTTAGTTTTGGCTTTCCGTGTCAGTAAAGTTGGGATTAATATAATAGACTACAGAAGAAAGATCAGAAGTCTGGAGAACATGAACAATGAGGAAGAAAGAAAGCTTTGCATTTTTTCAGTTTAAAGTGAAGTCAGAAGGGGGAGGATGCCCCGCAAAATGGGGTGGGTAAAAGGGAAGTAATAGCCCTCAAATACACATTAGAAGCATTTCAAAGTTTATTTTCAGACCCTTATGTTCTTGGCAGTTTGAACAGTTTAAGCTAATATATGGAAGAATAAATCATACAGGAGGAAAATATTTTATTTACTGGCAAGACTGATATTAGGTATGAGGTCTCGTGAGACCTCACTTGGAGTACTGTGTACAATTCTGGTGTCCTCAACATAAAAAGGACATGCAATTGTTGCAACAAGTCCAGAGGAGGGCCACGAGGATGATCAGGGGACTGGAGCACCTCCCGTATGAAGACAGGCTGAGAAAGTTGGGGCTGTTGGGCTGTTGGCTGTTGCGTGGAGACCTCATAGCAGCCTTCCAGTATCTGAAGGGGGCCTATAGGGATGCTGGGGAGGGACTCTTCATTAGGGACTGTAGTGATAGGACAAGGGGTAACGGGTTCAAACTTAAGCAGGAGAAGTTTAGATTGGATATAAGGAAGAAGTTCTTTACTGCAAGGGTGGTGAGGCACTGGAATGGGTTGCCCACGGGAGTTGTGAATGCTCCATTTTTGGTTGTGTTCAAGGCCAGTTTGGACAGAGCCTTGGGTGACATGGTTTAGTGTGAGGTGTGCTTGCCCATGGCAGGGGGGTTGGAATTGGATGATCTTAAGGTCCTTTCCAACCCTAACTATTCTATGATTCTATGATTCTATAGATTGCCTTTGGAGATTATGGGAACCTCAGAAAATGGGCATCTTAAACAAAAGTCTAATCAAAGGTCCATTAAGAATGAAACACATAAAGTATATGATCCTTAGGCCTAAAGATGGGCTAGATAATATACTAAAGGTCTTTCCTCATCCTATGACTCCATTATTCTCTACATAATTTAAGTATTATGAAATCATAGAACCATAGAATGTTTTGTGTGGGAAGGGACCTTAAAGATCACCTAGTTCCAATCACCCTGCCATGGGCAGGGACGTCCTCAACTAGAACAGGTTGCTCAAAGCTGCAGCCAACCTGGCATTGAACACTTTCAGGGAGGTGGTACCCTCACAGGAAAGAACTTCTTCCTAATAGTTCATCTAAATCTCCCTTCTTTCAGTTTAAAGCCATACTCCCTTTTCTACCAATACATGCCCTTGCAAAAATTCCCTCTCCAGATTTCTCATAGAGCCACTTTAAGTGCTGTGAGGCTTCTATAAGGTGTCTCTGGACCCTTGTCTCCTCCAGCCTGAGCAACCCCAGCTCTCTAAGCCTGTCTTCATAGGAGAGTTGCTCCATCACTCTGATCAACTTTGTGGCCTCCTCTGGACTCATTTCAACAGGTCCATGGCCTTCTTATGTTGGGGACCCCAGAGCTGAATGCAGTACTCCAGGTGGGGTGTCATGTGAGCAGAATAGAGGGGGGAGAATCACCTCCCTCGGCCTGCTGGTCACACGTCTGTTGATGCAGTCCAGGACATGGTTGGCTTTCTGGGCTGCGAGCTCACACTGCCAGCTCATGTTGAGCTTCTCATGAACCAACACACTCAAGTGCTTCTCCTCAAGGCTGCTCTCAATCCATTCTCTACCCAGCCTCTATTTATTCTTGGCATTGCCCCAGCCCAGTTGCAGGACCTTGGTCTTGGCCTTGTTGAACTTCATGAGGTTCACACTGGCCCACCTTTTAAGGCCCCTCTGGATGGCATCCATTCCCTCCAGTGTGTCGGCCATACCACACAGCTTTCTGTTGTTGGCAAACTTGCTGAGGGCGCACTCAATCCCATGTTGCTGGCAAAGATGTTAAGCAGTGCTGGTCCCAGAGCTGAATCGTGAGACTCGTCACTGGTCTCCACTTGGACATTGAGCCGTTGACCACAACTCTTTGAGTGAGAACATCCAGGCAATTGCTTATCCACCAAATGCTCCATCTATCAGATCCATGCCTCACCAGTTTAGACAGAGACGTCATGTGGGACAGTGTCAAATGCTTTGCATTATAACTTTATATAGGCAAGTCATGTTTATGTTTAAATATATAGCATAAACTACTAAGCATATTCTAACTCCTTTCCAGGTTTTACAGGTCAGTTAAAATTATCTCTAGCAAAAAAGCTGTAACAAACCTTTCTCTGAGAAAATTGTTTCATCATTATGGACTGCATTTGGCATTTTAGCAAGTATAAAACAAAGAAGAAAAAGGTGCAAAGAAAACATATGGATTTGCTCATAGAGTAAGGTGCTGCCTAGTGTAAGAATTGTAGAACCAGGTTTCTTTCTGAAAGCTTTTCCACTTTAGAGACCTTTAGTTTGCAGCTCAAGGAGCTATTCATAGGAATCTTTTTTTCAGATTTGGTCTTACATGGTTGACAATGCAATTTTGAGGAAGAGTCTGCACAGCAAACATTTGTTTTGAAATTCTGAAGGTTTTGGGGGAAAAAAAAACAAATATAAGGATGTCTAAGAATTAAGAAGTAATATTAAAAAGAAGATGAGAATTTTTGCATTTAATTTCAAATATAGAAACAATGTATGCATCTTGACATAATCCTAAGGAAATCTCTAATGGACATATAACTGCATGGAAGTCAATAAGGGCATATTTTCTTCCCAGAGAAATATAAGTAATGTGGTATGTCTAAAGGATAACACTGGTCAGCTGGCAGCCAAATTGTTTCTGATTAAGAAATCTGATGAAGCAGTTGCCTTTTCTTATGCCACTATTTATAATGCAGTATAACTTATATGCAATCTGTTCCTGGACTTTTGTCAGGAGATTGTTTTTTTAGCTTTGTTTCTTTCAACTTTTTCTTCTGCAACTTTGAGGGAGCACAAACATTGTTTCATCTAATCTGAGCAGCACCTGACTAGATTTCCTGATGCTAACATTTTCATGAATGCTAACTGTTATCCTGCAAAGAATCAAATTAAAATACAAGTAACACTAGTTTTATAATAGTCATGGACACAGAAAACACTACAGTACAGGTCCTGAGACAGAAGCATTTGGGCATAGAAAACTGTATACAGATAAAAACAAGACTTGATCACATAGAATTATTTTTGTCACAGAAGGAAAACATTCAGTGCATTTCAACACCCTGCCCTGCCAAATGGGTCATCCATCAGATTCTGTTGTGCATACACTATAAAATCAGTCTCCCACTTGTTCACAAAAGAGCTCTCAGACACCACAGTACAATGTAAGGACTGAAACAGAATTGTACATAGAGACAGTCACATAATTACTTGTGCAGTGCAGGCATACACAAACAGCAAAGTGAGTAGCTTTTACTGATGAAAATTTTTCACTCAGGACAGCAGCCATACTCACTGCAACAAGAATGACATCTTTTCTCCAAAGATAACCAAAATGAATGGCTAGAGTTAAGTGTAAAAAGAAGTCAAGGACACTTCTACTGAGTACTATGTTAGCCTTGAATAATGTGTGGTTTAGGAGTTTCCTCTAAGCAGAAGTGGCTTGTCAGTATTTAATAATCCACAGTCACTTGCTATTCTATGAATTTTTCTAATCTCCTCATGAAACATGTAAGCATTTAGCAAGCACAGCACCCAGAGACAATGATTTCTGCAGCTAAGCTGTGCATTATATTAGAAACTACCAATACATTCTATGGTAGCTAAAACTTGCACTAAATCACAAAAAGGGTCAGAGTTTAGTATGATTGGAAACCAAATCTTACTGTTGTTTGGCTGTTATTTAAACATGTTTTCTAACGTAAATCTTAAAACTACAGTTATTTCAATAAAATTATAGGCTGTGCTCTGAAAATATGATACTGATAACAGTTTAGAATGCATAATAGGCAAATGTTTCAAACTAAATAGCTGCAACATGGAAAACCAGTCCACTGAAATTGTGTGTATTTTCACTTATATCTTGATAGTATACCCTTTTGCAGCAACTTTATTGTTCTATAATGGGCATTTAGGGTATGGAAATACATAAGACCCTGAAAACACCTAGGGTAAAATGGTTTGTTGCACAGTAAGATTTATAGAAGACATTTTGCAACCATGTGGAATTTAATACATCAATATATTTATTCTTGGTCTGCACTAATTACAATAAAAAGGTGAAAAGAAGACTCCTTTGCTTGTGGCATATCTGACAGGAGAGAATATCAACATCTTGTAGTGCACATAATGTATCCTATATAATAAGTAACTGACCTGCTTACTGTCAAGAATACCTTCATTTGACACTTTTAAAAATTAGATGAAAGTCATTTTGGAAATAAGCTAGCACAGACCTTTACAGAAAAACTGGGATTTCCCATTATAATCCTCTCTCTAATATTCCCTCATACAGAGCTCTTTAAGTCTGTCTTTGATGGAAGTGAATTTCACATACTAACCATTTACTTGGTTTCCTCATATTATTGCTTGAATTTTTTATTCAGGTCACTTTTTAAATCTACAAAGATATTAATGGTGCAAGATGAAGCACTAAAAAGCCTAAAACTTACTTCCTAAAACATAACTTAAATATTCCTGTACAGTGTTTTCAATTTCTCTATTTTTTCTGAAATAACATTATGTAGCAGTTTGTATTTATATTCTTCAGACAGTTAATAGTCTATGTTGATGGTCAAAGAGACATTACAGTAAATATATAATAACCCCTAAAGCTCTTACACTTTACCTCTGAGGTATTTGTAAGTAGTCATATCGTTATAGTCTTTCCTTCAAGCAGTAGCATAGTGTAATCAAATTGTCTTAATCTTCTCTCATATGTCACAGCTTCTAATCCTCCCTGGACTTTTTTTTTTTTTTTTAAGTTTATAAAATAGTCTTTCTATATTGAGCATATTCACAGAAGAGTCAAAGTGCAGGAATAGGAACAAGCTACAGCTTATTAAGACCTACAAATCTATTCATTCTCATTTAAATTCACTGAAGAAAGACAGTAACACTGCTTTTGGAGCAATACACTGGGAAGTCAAGTCTTATCTGCTAGCCACAAGTGCCCATGATTCTTTTCTGCTCTTCCTGTACAGAGAGTTCTCTGTTAGGGCAAAGCTGAAAAATCAGGTAATCATTCTCCCTGCAATCCTCCCATTGATTTTTTTACGTAAGATGTATCTCCTGAAAATGGTTATCCTTGCCCCTGGAAAGCATCAAAAAACACTTGTAAGCATGGTCTGTGTATCTAGATACATTTTTTGTTTTAACTTTTGCCTGTTTGTTGAAGATACTCAAGGGTCCAAAACTTGATTTCTGGCACCATCACATGCCTGTCCAAAAATAATGTTAATAGCAATACAAGCTCTGTCCTTTTCCTTACACAATGACTGTGAGGTTGCATGGAGTGGTTTAGAATTTGGCAGATAACAAAAGAAGTATTTCACTTGAAAAGAACTGAGCCAAGTAAATAATCCTCAGGGAGACTGAGAAAATAGTCTGAAAGTATTTTAGTGAAGAAAAGAAATCCCAAGCAGCTCTCCTCCATAAGGCAACTCCCAGGCAATTGCAAGGTTGTTTAACTTGTGTGATCTGCTGACATCACTGCTCAAAATAATACATCTGCAGGTTAAGGGCTAACCTACATAGTGCTTTGTCACCCTACTAGATATGAAATTTGACAGCACTTGCTAGCATCAGTGCTCAGTAATTTCTGTCACATCCATCAGAAGGATGTAGGACAGTACTAAGTCCTAACAATTTCTGTGTAATTGTGGTCTTCTCTATAAACAAACTATCTTTCAGATGGCTTGACAATGCAATTTAAAATTGTCTATAGATTTTCCAGCACAAAAGAATAGAAAGGCTGACAGGATTTTGTCGACTGCAGTTACTGAAAGTCATATGTCAGCTAAGAAACTGAATTTATTTTGGAAACAGGTATAAAAATTTGAGTATTTTAATATAAACTTTGTATGCAACCCTGTAAAGCAGCTGCTAAGGCAAATTTTGTCTATTAATGATGTTCAACACATGTAAACTTTTTTAATGTACCCATATTATAGAACTTGAGTAATTCCTGGGTTTAGTTGCCTGGGTTTTCTGAGTAGAAGAAGGAAAAGATTACTTAACAATAGGAATAAGGAATGTAACTTATCTTTCTTAAAAATTAACATTCAAGGTAATTTGTGCCATTCTTTAAGAATGGGTTTGGGTATGACTGCCTGGAACTTGTGAAGAAACCATTACAGCTGTAACCAGGCAGAAAATGAGAAGTGAAATGAAAGTTCTATTCTGAACAAACAAGTTTCCATTTTTTCATGGCTAGTTCATAAACTGGCAGCACTATTACAACTTTACTCCTAAAAGTCACTAGAAAGTGACACAACTTTTCTTACGCTATTCTGTTTACCATCTTAATTCTCATTTCAAAAATTAATGCCAGTGTTTCAGAAATAGTGTCCCTCTTGTATTATCTGTTTTGACCACATTCTTTTAACCATAGAATAACACAGTCTTTGTTTCCATCAGTAATATTAATTCATTAAAATATATTTTCAACTCTATTATTCACCATTTTTAACATCTTAACGTCAACAATGTATTAAGTCAGTATGCAATTCTACGGTTTTCCTAATGCTTTTGTTTGGTTCCTATATGTTACCACATTCTTTGCTGCCTTGATGGTCTGTTGGGATATCTTTTTACTTTTCTATACTCTTCTGTACTATACTGTGTACACTTCACTGTCATATTTCAATTCTTCGATTAACCCTGTCTCTGGTTCTTACACATTCTTCTGTTGCATACTCTTAGTGGATTGCTTTACTTTTCTGTCTTCATTGTGATATTGTCAACCCTGATTTTATTTATTTATTCTTTAACATCTCTGCTTATGGGACTTGTGCAATTTATAAAGTCTAATATATTGCAAGTATACACACAATGAAAGTATTGTAAGCACCACATCAAATACAGTGACTGTCTAATATTTACTGCATAATGATTTATGGATTTGGGCTTACAGCCTCTCATCCTACACATTTTCTGCACAGTTACAGAAGCTTTTGCATTTCTAATTGTTTGTCTTCTTAAAGGCCAGATAGAGAGAAGAATATTTAGGAAGCATGAGATCCTCTGACCTTCCCGTCTTTCTCAGATTCATCCTGTCTTGCTCCTATTTGCTCTTGTATGGGAGAAAAATAATCTTCAAAAGTGAACTGCTCACTGCACAAAATTTCTTCATACAAATATATGACAGACCTTTACTAGCTTTATTTACTGAGAGAGAGGAAAAAAATAACAACTGTATTAGGGTTGAGATTTTGCTTTTCTTTTTGTCCTGCTAGACACCTATGTCCTATTTCCTGCTGCCTACCTTCTAACTTGGTATATTTATTTCTAGTCATGCAGGACAACCACAAAATTCCCAAGTCCATACCTCTTTCTGTTACTCATAAATTAATCCAAATGTATCTAAACTCACCTTTTTCCACAGCAGAAAATTAGAATTGTTACTACCCCTTCCCCCATACAAAGCTGATTTTTTGCTTGTTTGTTTGTTTTTTGTTAATGCTTCTCCAGCATATAATTGAGTAATTAAACTCTCCTAGGAATCAAAGAATCAACAAGGTTGGAAAAGACCTATAAGATCATGAAGCCCAACCATTACCTCAGGATTGCCAAGACCTCGTCTACATGAGTTTTGAACACTTCCAGAGATGGTGATTCCACCGCTTCCCTGGGCAGCCTGTTCCAATGCCTGATCAGCCTTTCGGCAAAGAAATTTTTTCTACTCTCCAGTCTAAACCTCCGATGGCATAACTTGAGTCCATTACTGTGACTTTTAACCAATTTAAGTATTTTACATTTTACCAGTGGTTTGGGGTTGTGCATTTGGTGAGTTTTTCCTTTTTTTCTATAACTTGAGAGCTTGGGGCTTTTCATTTGTCTTAACCTTCTCCAGAAAGGTTCTATATTCAGTGTTGATGTTCCTTATATAGCTGTATCTGATTATATATGTCATATAAACTTGGTATAGACTGCAGGCTTCCCTTCATATGCATGCAAAATATAGAATACTAATATTCTTGTCAGAAAATGTATTTTTCCTGTAATACCTATAAAATCAAGCTTGCTTCTCATAGAAACATTTCTTATGTTCTTTGTAACTGTGTTATTAGCAGCATTTACAGATATTTGCTCTCAGCTTTGTTTAGAAACCAGGAAGTATTCCCTCGTATTTTAAAATTTAAACCAAAACATATTTTTTTTTTATCAGACAAAGCCATTTTCTAGGGTGACCCTATGTGACACGAAGTGGTTTTGTAGACCAAGAATCACAAACTACATAAGTGGGAATTAAGCACTAATTATTTTTAGTGGCTTGTAGTTAGAAACCAACCTTTCATACAAGTTCCTAAAATCTTGGGTGAGATCAATAGGAAAATTGCATGGGGTGGATGTTCACTTCATGCTTTGCTCCAATTATGGAAGCAGCTACAGTTCATTGGTATTTAATGAATTTAGTTTTGGTACTGTTACATCTCAGAAATGCCACTCTTCTACACTCTTTTCTACTCTAAGTAGATGCTACTTTGTCACCATCATCTAAGGCTTTTGTTGATGAGATAAAAATGGGTAAAACC